TAGAATGGGAAAGGATATTCACTAACCCCACATCTGACAGAGGGCTGATTTCCAAAATATACAAGGAACTCAAGAAGCTAGTCACCAAAACACCAAATAATACAATTAAAAAGTGGGGCACAGAACTAAATAGAGAATTCTCAATAGAGGAATCTAAAATGGCTGAGAGACACTTAAGAAAAGTGCTCAACATCCCTAGCCATCAGGGAAATGCAAATCAAGACAACTCTGAGATACCATCTTACTCTTGTCAGAATGGCTAAAATCAAAAACACCAATGACAGTTTATGCTGGAGAGGATGTGGAAAAAGGGGAATACTTCTCCACTGCTGGTGGGAGTGCAAACTCGGTACAGTCACTTTGGAAATCAGTATGGTGGTTTCTCAGGAAAATGGGAATCAGTCTACCACAGGATCCAGCAATTCCACTCTTAGGCATATACCCAAAAGATGCACATTCATACAAGGACATCTGTTTAACCATGTTCATAGCAGCATTATTCGTAATAGCCAGAACCTGGAGGCAACACAGATGCCCCCTCAACTGAAGAATGGATAGAGAAAATGTGGAACATTTACAAAATGGAGTACTACTACTCAGAGGAAAAAAACCAATGGAATCTTGAAATTTGCAGGCAAATGGATGGCACTAGAAGAAACCATCCTGAGTCAGGTAACCCAGTCACAAAAAGACAAACATGGTATGAACTCACTCATACATGGATTTTAGAAATAGCGCAAAGGAGTACCAGCCTACAATCCATACTGCCAGAGAAGTTAGGAAACAAAGAGGACCCTAAGAGAGACAAACATACCTGGTCCCCTGAGATGGGGAATGGGACAAGATCTCCTGAGCTAATTGGGAGCATAGGGGGGGAAGAAAAGGAGTTAGAAGAAAGAAAAGGGGAGAAGAGGGGGGGGGGAGGAAGAGAGGAGAGAGCAGGAAGATCGAGTCAGGGGAAGAATAGAGGAGAGCAAGAAAAGGATACCATAATAGAGGGAGCCATTATAGGTTTAAAGAGAAATCTGGCACTAGGGAAATGTCCAGAAATTTACAAGGTTGACCTCAATTAATAATCTAAGCAATAGTGGAGAGGCTACCTTAAATGCTCTTCCCCAATAATGAGATTGATGACTACCTTATATGCCATCCTAGAGCCTACCTCCTGTAGCTGATGGAAGCAGAATCAAATACTCGCAGCTAAACACTGAGCTGAACTCTGGAATTCAGTTGCAGAGAGGGAGGAATGATGAGCAAAGGGGTCAAGACCAGGCTAGAGAAACCCACAAAAACAGCTGACCTGAACAAGGGGTTGGTCATGGACCCCAGACTGACAGCTGGGAAACCAGTATAGGACTGTTCCAGACCCCCTGAACGAGGATGTCAGTTTGGAAGTCTGGTTAATCTATGGGGCCTCTGGTAGTGGATCAGTATTTATTCCTAGCACACGAATGGACTTTGAGATCCCACTCCACATAGAGGGATACTCTCAGCTTAGACACATGGGGGAGGGTCTAGGTCCTGCTCCAAATGATATGACAGACTTTGAAGATCCCCCATGGAAGGCTTCACCCTCCTGGGGAGCAGAAAGGGGATAGGATAGGGGTTTGGTGGGGGCAGGGGAGGAGGGGAGGGAGAGGGAACTGGGATTTGATTAGAAGCTTGTTTCTAATTTAAAAAAGGGGGAAAAAAAAGAAAACCACAACTAGTCAAAATGCAGAGCTGTGGAGCCCAGTCCCAATGGATACATCTACAACACAGCTTCTGCATCTAAGACTCAGAGAACACTGCAGAAGACAGGACGGAAAGATTTTAAGAGCCAGAGAGTCAAGGAGTTTGCTGAGATTTTGTCTCTTAGGAATGTCAGAAGATATACCCATCAAGTCTCACCAGTATGACTGACTAAAATATGAACAGAACAAAGATAACAATGATAGACATGCTAAAGTGGATGGAGAAAGCCCATGAGGCTTCAACCCTACATAAAGAACTATAGGCAACAATGGAATGCAGAGAGTAGGAGAAATAGCTTCTCTAAAGAAGAGCACACCAATTGCTTATCTAATACCAAATGGTCAGCCCTGAAAACATCCATATGAGTAACATTATAGAGACTGAGCAGGAGATGCATATATACATTTGTATATATGCATGGATGCGATAACAATTAATGAAGAAAGAGGCCATGAAGTTGAAAGAAAGCAAGGAGGGGTTTATGGGAGGGTTTGGAGGGAGGAAAGGGAGGGGGAGTTTATGTTATAACTTCAAAAATAAGAGAAATTAAAAAAGGGGAGAGACACAAGATCACATACTACTTTATGACCACTAGGACAGCCACCACCAAGAAGCAGGTGGGCAAAGTGGATTGAATCCCTATGTATGGCTAATGAGAATGTAAACTGATAGACACATGCTGAACATGGTTTGGCAGTTCAGGAATTATATGACGTACCAATTTTATTCCTAGGCTTTGAGTCAAGAGAAAAACATGTTTCTATGAAAATCTATGCACTCATGTTCACAGCAGCATTATTAACTGCACAAAAGTAGAAACAACCTAATTATATGGATGGATGAACCAAATGTGAACATACCATACAGTGAACTACTTACTACTCAGCCATAGAAAGGAAGCACTGCTTCATGCCACAATATGTAAAGAGCACTATGATAAAAGAGCATACATAAGGCCACATACTGTGTGGTTCCATTTCTACAAATGAAACATCCTGAATACATAAATTCATAGAGACAGTGGTTGCCAGAAACCAGAATGGGGGAACTGGGGAGCAACTTAAAATTTTCTCCTACTTGTTTAATGTGTATATGTGTGAATATGGACATGTGTATATGTCAAAGAACATGTGGAGATCACAGGACAAACTTGTGGAAGTGGTTTCTTCTTCCATTTATGGATCCACTCAGGTTGTCAGGCTTGATTGCTGGCAAGCCCCCTGAGCAACTGAGTATGACGCTTCATCCTGGGGTGATGAAAATGCTATGGAATTAGACAATGGTGATGGCTGCATAGCCTCGAGAATATACTAAGGCCCACACACGTATACAGTTTAAAAGGGTGACATGGAATATGAATTATACCTCAATTAAAAAAGAACCATAGGACTCTGTCTGCCTCTGTGTATTTATCTTTTGGTGGTTAATGGCACTAGTTAATCTGCATTAAAAATAACTAAGATATTATTTCAGAAATGGGATTAGAAAGTTTTCAACAAAAGCCTTTAACATTTAAAAAGGATTTGACCCAGTTGTATGGTGTATGCCTGTAACCCAGAGTTCAAGACCACCCTTAGGTATAGAGTGTTGAGGTCAAACTGGGCTACGTGGAACTCTGTCTCAAAACAAACAAACAAACAAAGCCCCCAAAAGTTCAAACGAACACAAACCAACCAACCTACAAACAAAAAATCCAAAAGGGGTTTAGAGAGATGGCTCAGTGGTGAGGAGTGTACTACACTTCCAGAGGATGAGAATTCAGTTCCCAGCATCCTTGTCGGGTGGCTCACAAGTGCCTGCAGCCCCAGCTCCACGACAATCTGCCCCAGAAATTCTTTTTAGTACAGTAGATACAATGACTCTCCTTCCTCTCCGTAAAACAAAGGGAAACCAGCAGAGGCAGAGGAAAAGAAGAGAATTTAAGCCTTATTAAATGCAGCATGCAAGCAATTCACTCATTCAGTTACACACCCATGTCTTCAGGCTCTGGGATGTAGGCTAGGAAGTGAACAGGACTGAGACTTTATTCATGGAAGCTAAACTTTGTTTCTCCCCAGAAAATTTTAACGCAGTAGCATACTCAACAGGGGCAAATAAAACAAATCATAATGTACAGGAAGCACATACTCCAGGCCTGGGAGATAACGTACAAAGGCATCTAAGACAAAGTGAAGAGCCTATGGATATGTGACCAGAACAGGGTGATTTTTAAGACAGCAAAAGAACACAAGGAGGCCTCAACATCACAATGAAGAATAGAGGACATTACTGGGCACAAGGCAAACATCATCCTATGAAATACAGTCTTTCTATGGGTATTTATTTTGCTCATTGTCAGGATCCCAGGGGGCTCTGAAAACAGTCAACTTTGACTTGTTTTGCTAATCTCACAGAATTGTTTTTGTTTTTTCTGTCCTCTGTATTAGACAAAATATCCTCAAGGAAAGAAAGACTTTCTTTGGAGACATGATCTCACTATATATAGCACAGGCTGGCCTTAATTTCTTTATCTTTGTGCCTTACCCTTCCGAGCGCTGGGATTAGAGGCATATGCCACTGTTCCTGGCTGAGACTGTAACTTACAGTGTATTCCCATCCTTTGACCAAAGACCTTTAAAAAATGCCGAAAGACGGTATGGAAGCTTCACAGTCAGCCTCAGTTTGAATTCTGTCTCAACCAATTATCTGCTCTTCAGACTTAGCTGGCCCAATAATGTTGAATACAAATTATGTGAGTAATGTGTCCCTGTGTGTTTGCAGGCATGTGGAGGCCAGAGGGTAACCTCAGTTAAAAATTAGTAATTATTATGTGTGGGTGTATACATATCATGTGTGAAGGTCAAAGGGTAACTTCATAGAGTCAACTCTCTTCTTTCACCTTATTTTGTTCTGGGAATTGAACTTAGGTCATCAGGCTGTAAGTGCTGCTACCCACTGAGCCATCTTTCTGGCCCTGTTGACCTTTTTGTTTTTGAGAAAGCGTTTCTCACTAGCTTGGAACTCAACAAGTAAGTTGGGCTGGTTGGACACTGAGCCCTTAGGATCCGTCTGCCTCCATATCCCCAGTGCTGGAATTATTAGACTATATGCCACCACAACTGGGTTTTTTGTTTTGTTTTGTTTTTTTACATGTGTTCTGGGGATTGAACTCAAGTCTACCATCTGAGCCATCTCTCCAGTCCATTAGATAGGCTTTGTTTTTAAACAAGAAAACATTAAAAAGTTATAACAGTTACAATGTTGAACATTTCCATCATTAACCTTACCTTTGATGCTAGAAATCCCTGGCAGGGAGATAGGCTTTAGCTGGGTCTCCATTTGGTTTTCAAGAAAGTGTGAAAATTTTGGCAATGTTGATGGTTCTGATGTGAAGTTCTGTACTTGCTCTGTAGCAAACACATACACCTTTATTACAATCAATGCTAACACATATTAATTGAAGGTCACCTTTTAGGACAGCAGCATACATATTTAACTTAAGAGGAGTAGCTGAGAGTTAAATAGCACAGTAACTGTGAAGCTAATGGCATGAACTGAGGGATGTTGGTGGACAGGTGAGGGGGAATCAGTATTACATTAAGGTTTGACACAGAACCCTTGCACAGGTTGAGTAGCCTTAATCTTAAATGCCCCAAATCAAAAGCTTTTAGAGTACAGACACAGGTGAAAAATTCCACATGTGACTTCATGTGATGGGTCACAGTCAAATAAAGGTAACTTAAAAATACCAAATAAAATTAACACCAGGTCATACACATATGGATAATGTATATATGAAACATGAGTTAATTTTTTATTTAGACTTGAATACCAACTCAAAGATAAATTGAGAATACTCAAAAAAATGAAAGAATTCCAAATTGACAATATTTTGGGTTCCACATGTTTTGAATAAAGAATACTCAAGTTATAGGACAGTTACCATCATTTACGTTTAGATGCTAAGGCTTTAGTTGGGTAAGTCTTTTGACTTCTTGGGAAATAGGCTGTTAAGTCTGGTCTGGGGGTATGAGCCACCAGCCATGTTACCAAAAGAATGCTATCATAAGATAATGTTAGGGGAAGGCCTTCAATGTAGTTCTGTTTCTCTCAGGAGAGAATCTCAGGGAAGCTATCCTACATCTCCACAGCTGAAGAATGCTTGACGCAGGGAGGTCAAAGACAATCCTGTCTAGGACCTTGTTCTATTCTCACAAGGTCTAAATAGTAGATGTTAATTAATGTATCTAATAATATTGATTAGGTGTGTTCTTATCTAGAGTCAAGTGGCCTGAAAATTGAATAATTTCATCATTACATGTTAATGGCTTTCAGGAGGACTAATATTTATTTTTAAGTAAATTTTATGCACTCACAATAACAGAAACATAACATTTAGGAATGGTTTAATATAAGCTATGACAGTAACATTTTTGCCTATAATTGGATGCAGGCAGCATGGAGAAGTCTATTTCCAGCTAAACATTACCCATTCTCCCCTTAATAGACTAGAGTACAAATCAAGTACAAAATGGGCTTTTGCTAAATGAAAGCGGAGTGCATCAGCCTCGTCTCGGTGCGCTCAGGCATCACTCACTCGGTTTCATCAGTCCTGGCGACACCGTCCCTACTCCCTGTGTGGGAGGCAGGCTGCCCAAGCCTGCGTGAAATATTCAGATGGCAGCTTGCTGCTCACCTTCCTCTGCGGTCTCTGGAGGCCTGTTGCTTTCAGGTTTGTTTGTGAGAGCACTGATCAGCTGCAGTTTTTCTCGAAGCTTCGATACCTGAGAAATTGAATTATCTTCTTTCTGCCCAAAACACAGATCAGACAGGTTTAAGGTAGAAGTGGAATCTAACTGGAAACTCTGTATTCCCACAGCACATCTCACATGTAGAGTCTGATCTTTACCAGGGCCCCTCTGAAGTCAATGAAGGGATGGACAAATACTAGGCTGTCTTTGGGGCAGTACTGATGAGGGTGTAGCTGGATTTAAGGCTAGACCATTAAGGGAACATTGTTCTCCATGATCTGTTTCACTGTGAACATTCCACTGATAGGTGAAGGCACACATGTGTCAGCAGTAAAGAAAATGCCCTTATTCAGGTGCCTGTGTGGCACCTGCTTCCTAGATGATGGGGGACACTGTTTTCTGGAGCCATTTTACACTAACTAAAAACTGCTTCAGATATCATCTTGTGACCGTGACATCTGAAGCAAAAGTTAAAAAAAAAAAAAAAAGGCAGAGGAACCGTAAGTATTCCCTTTCCGCCCCAATGTCCCTACTATAATGATTCAACTGGTGGCAGGAACTATCAAAGACACAAAATAGGAGTTGCAGTATTTTTAATTTAAACTGTTACTTGAGTTTAATGATTTCCCCACTCCACCCCACTGCCTTCTTTCCAGCTTAATCTAGGATGGCATACAGAAAATAGATATAATTGTAAAGAACGAAGCCCCACTTCTCCTGTATCTGCTTATTGTATGAAAAGGAGTACCACTGCATCTCATTTCTCATGCCCAGTGAGTTTACACATCCCCTTTCTATCTTTACTCCTACCCTAACAGCTACTGTACAGTGGATACTTAGTTTATTTAGGGAGAACCAATATGGACATATGAATGAAACTAGATACCAAATGTTTGCTGCCAGGAGAAAATGAATCTGGCTGGGATGCTTTGATGAGATAACATGAAGAGACTGATCAGCTGGCATGAAGTTATAAAACACAAGGGATGTGGTACTGTGTTATGATCTGACCGTTAAAATGTGAATTACTGTTGAAATCACTACAGCTTTCTAATAGTAACCGTCTGCTATGTGTGTGTGTGTGTGTGTGTGTGTGTGTGTGTGTGTGTGTGTGTGTACACAACATTTAAATCTGGTTCTTACAATTTTCTTGTCATTATCTGAGGTTTGAAAAATGTACACAAGCAGTTTTAAAAAAATCAATAAAAGTCCAGCTTATAATGCATCAAAATCTTAAGTATACATGACTTTATCTAGACAACTGGTAAGGGTAAAATTGCTAAACTAAAATTGCTAAGGATGAACAAGTAAAGATAACATCAAAAGCCTCTATACTATGGTTTCAGCCAAGTTCATCTCCTATGAACTTCATATCCTCTGAACTCAACACTGAGTGCACCTCAGATGAGGCTGTAGTCACTCTGTCACCTCTTCCTGGCTTTCCCTTTATCTCAGCAGGACTTAAAAAGGACTATGAAAGCCTTGAGAATGTAATCTAAATGCAAAATGATTTTTAAGCAGGACACCATTTTGAGATTATGCCCCAGTCCTCCATCATTAGTTTAGATATCTGTGCTAATTAATTTTTGTCAGCTGGACACAAACTAGAGTTACCTGGGGATAAGGAACCTCAGGTGAGGAACTACCTCCATTAGTCTGCTCTGTGGACATGTATATGAGCCATTTTCTTAATTGCTAACTGATGTAGGAGAGACAGTCTAGCCCACTGAGGGTGGTGAAATCCCTAGGCAGGTGGGCCTGAGTCATATAAGAAGCTAAGAAAGCCAGAGGAAATAGCCAGTAAGTAGCATTCCTCCATAGTTTTTGCTTCAAGCTCTTGCTTTGGCTTCCCTTGATAATGGATGTAACCCATACCCATATATGATGTAATAAACCTTCCTCCCTGTGTTGCTTTTGGTCATGGTCACAGCAACAAAGGCAGACTACGACAATAACTGTCTTAGCTTAAAAACTGTCCTTAGGAAAGCCCACCTGATCCCTATGCTTTCCCACTGTAGTACTTACCAGACTTGTGATTAAGAATCTGAGCTATACCACAATAGGGGTCATGTATCTGTGTCATTCACTGTGGCCATCCCAGCACCTGGTAAAGTGCTGAGCACAAGGTAGGTGCCATGTGATATTCACTTCACTCACTCACTAGTACCCTAACTTACTAATTGCTCTGTCTTGGAGTTTATCACAAGAGATCAAAGTGTTCCTCTTACAGGGAACAGCATGGAGATGCTGATGCATTTGTTTACTTTACAGAAGCTTCCTGTTTACCATTATGCTCTGGGCCTTTATAGTGATAGCTCTGTTGTTAACCAGAGACTCTCTTTTCAGAGTGGAAGTCCTATTACCCATCTTAGATGGTAAAGAAAACAGGAAAATGTTAAGGAGAAACATTAAGACTTGAATGACAAACCTGGAGCTTCAGGCCACTGTGTCCAGCTTTTATGTGGGTGCTGGGGATCTGAATGCAAGTCTTCATGCTTGTGTGGCAGACACTTTACTAACTGAGCCATTCTCCAATACTGACAGTTAATACTTCTTAAACAAATTGGTTAAATTTATTGAAAGGATCTGAACATTTAAATACAAATGGCAAAGGAGTGGGAGAGAGAGAGAATGGAGATGGGCACAAGGAAACAAAGTGGAAATAGAGGCTTCTAAATGTTTTAGTTACAAACTTTAAAACTGAAGTATAAAAGGCAATAGAACTTCTACCCAGATCCAGGCTAAGTCTGATGCTATTGGAAGAAACAGTAGGACAGATGGATACCATTACCAATTATCTTTGCTGGATAAAAATAAGAAGGGGATGGCAGAGACAGCAAGGGGTTTGGGGTGATAAGTTTTCACAATAAGCCTTGAAAACCCTTCAAGGCACATTATTCATCAAATCATTCAACATTCTCAGCTCCTACTTAGCTTAGCTGAGTTCAAAAGGGCTTTAAAAACTAGGGCTCCTTTAATCTTCACAGCTTTGTAGTAAATTACACACTCTTGTAAAGCAGGAGGGCCAGGCAGAGGGGGACAGGTCTTTTTACCCCACCTTTCAAAGCCAAATTTAGGCAACTTGCCAAAAGTTCACCGTGGCAGAGCCAGCCCAAGTATTCCTAACTATGTGTCAGGGTTTGATTTTATGCGTGGGTTAGCTTCCAGCTTTTACTTGAATTTACAATGTGGTTTCCATCATAAACGGTACCATATCTTTGCTCTATTGAACCTTTAAAAGTGAGGCTTATCACTGTTAATGGAATGATCCACATGAATCCCACCAGGATGCACAGATGAAATATGGTTAAGAACAAGTAGACTCTATTCATGAGATCATGAAACCAGTGACCCTCAGAGCCAGCAAGTATGCACCATCACCACCACCTTCATCTTTTTACAGATGCTTTTGTTAGAAAATATTAGCTATACATCATAGTAGGTTTCATTATATTTTTATCCATGTACATATATATTTATCATAAGCCCCTTCACCCAATCTCCCATTAACCCTTCTGCATTCTTCCTACTCCTGCTATTTCCTCCTTCCTATTGCAACCCCTTTCTTTCAAATTCTGTGTGACCCTATTGGTCTCACTAGGGTTTGTTTATAGAAGCAACTTCATCTGTTTTAGATGGTTTTCCTAACATCATATGCAAAAGGGTTCCTCTAATATGCAGAGAGGAGCAGGATGAATCTCAAAGCCAAGTTCAGGGTTAAAAAATGGCACAAGACTGTTGTATCTGCTACTCTTACCACTTCTAATACCTTAAGGGGGGAAAAGAAAAGAAAGGAAATGAAAGGAAAAGAAAAGGGGAAAAAAGACCTCTTTTAGAAAAACATGCTCAAGTTTCCCTACCTGATGGACCACTGGCAACATTGTAAGAGACGTGCCATTCCTGCCAACAAGTTGTAGTGAGTTGACATGTTTAAACTGACCCTTGATTTCACACCCTTTCAAACACACATACCCTGTGCACTTCAGAGAGCTGCTATATGGATTTAAGCAGGAGTAAGTTAAGCACAAAACAAATGTGTGGCCTCTTAAGTATGCCAGACTATACTGTTCACATGAAGAGGGGGATTACATCTATGTACAGACAACACTCCGACACAGAGCATGCCACAGCAGATCTGAAAAGGCTTACCGTGCTGGAGGTCAGGTTTGCTCTTTTGTCTGCCTTGTTCAGTGTAGCCACATCACTTTCTATCAGGCTGAGTCTCTGTGTCAGGTTACTGAGTGTCTCGTTCATCCCCTCAAATTTAAAGTCACTCTGTCTCTGGTATCCCACTACAGTACTGTTGACCTCCTCTAAGGAGTTGTGAAGGTACAGGATATCCTAGAATGGAAACAAATGGGTTGTGGCATCCACCTAAATACTGAAACTAGACAAGTAGGATAGGAGCAATACAGCAACCATTATTGTGTCGACAAGGTAAGGTATTTTTCTTGGTGGTGGTCCCCAACTGCCTAGATCTGCTTTGCTCTTCCTTCTCTAAATGGTCTCAATTTGCCCTCTCTTGGATTGTTTGGACTCAGCTAGACAGGAGGGTAAAGAAGAGAACTGTCGGCAAGCTCCTATTCAAAGTGATGAGTTTGGGAATTAATTTTCCCATGTTTACCTCACTTGCTGGCAGGAGAGCACATTGGGATATTAACTGAAGTCCCATTAACTTAATTGGTCAGAACAAAACTACCTTAAGAACAATACCAATTACTGAATTGGCTTGTGTAACAAAAGCACAGCAAGTAGTGCATTATTTAGTACAAGATTCAATTATTTTTATTGACATCTTCTAGTACTGATTGCTACTTAAAAAGGAAAAATGACCATAGGTTTTAAAGGGCATTAAACTCAGGACAGAAATTCTTCTTAGAGAAGATTTCCTTTATTCTCTTTAATGTGATTCTGAACCTAGCATTCCTCCCCTCCTGCCCTTTGTCTTTAGACTTTAGAAAACACCAAATTTCAAGGATATGTTTCTCAGTGTTTTTAGAGGTTTCTGTGGCTCAAAACAGCCATTACTTTGGATTTTGCATCCATCTTTCATTTGCCCAGATTGCTATTTGCCATAGAGTTTCAGGATAATCTGATCATTCTATGTCTTTCAAGATGTGAAAAGGAATTTACTTCACTGGTTGACATACTAGGAAGAAAGCAGAGTACCACAGCAGAGACAGGATTCCCAAGTACCAACACACACCCTTTCTACTCAGTTCTCAGATAGGAGGGTGATGTACGATGTACCTGCTGAGGCCCCGACTGTGGTACTGTATTTTTTTTTAATTTTAAAAACAATCTTTTCTCATTTTACATACCAATCCCAGTTCCCACTCCCTCCCCTCCTCCTGCTACTCCCGCCTTCCCCACCCCACCTGCCATTCATTCCTCAGAGAGGGTAAAGTTTCCCATGTATGTTAAGCCCACATTCCTCAGACTGCTTCTATAGCCCACCATAGTCCCAAGCAAAAAGTACCTGTTTTGAACTTTCACTATTGGTTTTATTATCAAGCTCTGACGTCACTGAGGGTGATGTCATTATTTTGTTGCTTCCATCAGTCCCCTTTAAGAAATGTTAACACAAATGGAAGTTAGAACATAAGCAACAACTAACTACTAGGTTACTTAACCATCTCAGATGGTCCTAGAACACTCTTTCCTCTCTAGGATGTAGCTGACCATGGATTAATCTACAGGAGTCCCCCAAAACTTATGAACCATCTGAAAGGTATAAAGAGTATCATGGACTTTTGAGGGTACCCAGCATGAAGCAGAGAATGGACAGCAGCACCCAGGTTACCCCAGGAATCTGAGCACCTCCTAGTATGTGTCTCAGTTTCTCAATGGAATGAATTCTGTACAAACTCCTCTCTCCTCTCCCTCATGCCAGTGAACATGCACATGATTGGTTTTCCCTTAGTACACGCTGATATCTACATCAGAGGTCGACTCTTCTCCTCCCTTTCCTCCCCACTGCTCCAGTCCTCTTTGCAGACACTTAAACATAATATGCTTAGATACATTTTCATCCTTTACTGGGAAAAACTAAATAGCTGATTCCTTTACAGCCCACAGCTAAAGTTTAGTACAATGTGATAGTAGGAGGGTTACTATCAACAGCCACCAAAGGTTAAAAGATGCCAATTCAATTACAACAGTGTAATTGGCAAAACAGTTCTCCTTAAAATCTGAAATCCTAGACATTTATCAACCTTGCTTTCACAAAAATTGAAGGTAAAATTAAAAAGAAAAAAGATGTAACACCTGTGGTTTTAGGAAGCAGAAGATATTCAGTTAGGAAAAAGTATTTTAGGAAATGGCTCATTACTTGAGAGCATGCACAAGACAAAGGAATTGGTGAGTTATATCTTTATTAGTATGGGGTACAGAGGTCCTCCGTGGCAGATGGAATTAGAAGCAAGATGTTTGGACACCTCTGTTGAAACTTTTCCTTTAAGGTTAGCCCCACTAACTAACAAACAGTGACCAAGTAAATTACAGCAAGTACTAGTTCAAATGAAAAACCCTCCTTTCTGAAACTCTCGGATGCAGCTCAGGTTCCTTGGTACAAACTGAAGTCAACTTGTTTCTCCATCAGGATAGCAAGGGTTGCGCCATCCTTTTCTCTACCTTTATAGATCCTGCAGGGAGCTGTTACAAAGTGGTTATTGCCAGGATGACTGTGGAGAGCTTGTGTGTGCAGCTGCAGTAGGAGACTAAGATGTCTAAAAATAGCAAGCTTTGCTTCCTTCTTAGCTATTTGTTGTTTCATTACAAATCATCTTCAGATTTTGGGGTTGAAACAACAAAAATGCTTTATTTCTTACTGTTCTGTGGCTTTACTGAGTTCCATTCAGGCGATGGCAGAGGACAATTCTATGTAGTCTTCTGTGAGGTGATACATATGGCTACATTCCACTGACACCTAGTGGGAGCTGGAACATCCAGATGACTTTTCTTCTAGATCATCTCTTCCCCTGGTCTCTGAGCAACAGGGGTGTAAAAACCCTGCTCAAATCTCTGGTGCTCATTAGAGTGAAAAACAGTAACTTGCTGGAGTAGTTTGCTTTGCAGCAATAAATAAGATAATTTTCTACTGTCCCTGTCCCTTTTTCTGATACCTTTCTGATCTTCTTTTTCCTACCCTACTTGTTCCATCTTTGGAAAATGTGTTATGAGCATCTCCAATACCATTTTAAAAAAAATATTTATTTATTATATATACAGCATTCTGCCTGCATGTATGCCTGCACTACAGAAGATGGCACCAGCCAGATTTCATTACAGATGGCTGTGAGCCATCATGTGGTTGCTAGGAATTGAACTCAGGATCTATGACAGAGCAGCCAGTGCACTTGACCCCTGAGCCATCTCTCCAGCTCCCAAAACCATGTTTATAAAAGATACCTTTCAATCCTATCTACCTTATTGCTTGTTCAATTGTTTTTGGAATTATGACTGATATAGGAAATGGTGATCAGGAGCATGCTGCCTTTCTGTAGTGTTTACAGATCTTACCATATCGCTCTGCAGTAATTCCAAGGTTTTCTTATGTTCATCCACAGTTTTCTGTATTGCCTCCACAGCTAGATGGACACTGTTTAAAGTATTGCCAATGGAAGCTACACTCTGAATAGAAACAATATAGGAACATTAGTTTCCCCTTTTAAAAGCTTTACTAAGTATAACTGATATGCAATACATACATATATTCAAAATGAATAATAATATGTGAAACCATTTCCGTAATAGAAGCAATAGTATTACCCCCAGCCCAATTTCTTCATGCCTCTCTGTAACTTCCCAAGACAACCATTTATTCACTTTCTGTCACTATGTATCAGACCAATGAATATATACTTTCTAAAACTTTTTCTTCTGTATGTCGTCTTTTACTAAGTGCAATTGAGATTCAGTTATGTCTAAGCTGTTCAGTATGTTACATGCCATTGGTGCGGTTTTATCAACCTGCTTATTCACCAGTTAATGGACATTCAGGTTATTTTCAGTATCTGACTATTATAAATGAAGCTGCCATAAACATTCATGTGGACTTGTGCCATCATCTCCCTTCATACTTCTCATCACAATACATAGATGAACAGCTGACCATATGGTGGACTTATGCTTCACTTCTTAAAAAACTTGCAAGCATTTTACAGTTCCATCAATGGTATTTAGAGGGCTCCTATTACTCCATAAGTTACAAATATAGGTGCTGTTAATTTTAAAAAATTACCCATTCTAATGGCAGTGTTGTGGTATGCTGTGATTTTAATTTAGACTAAAGCACTAACTAAATACAGATCAATATTTTAATTATTTCAACTGTGTTCAAACTATGAATTCCATGTAACTTATAGAGAACAATTAGCAAAAAACATAAACATTCATTCTATGAATAGTTTCTCATAATATAAAACTCAAGCTATTTTCTCAATTAAGGAAAACTACAATCTTTCCTAAATAAAATCTATGTTCCTAAAAAATTATTTGTAAGTTATATTCTGAAAAAAATAATAAATCTGGGACTCACAGATAAGATGCCTACCTTTAAACTATGTGTGTTAAATACCCTATAGGCAAGTAGATGGCTAGAGTTGATGCTGTTGAGTGTCAACAGTCAGGAGTATTAAGTGATGGCTTTTGAGCAATATTGAGTGGGTATGATTTCTGGCTCTAGGAAACCCAGCTAGTGGTAGACTTTTGTCAGCAATGAGTATAGTTTTTTGTTGTTGTTGTTGTTTTTACGAGACAGGGTTTCTCTGTATTGTTTTGGAGGCTGTTGGTCCAGCCCAGCCTCGAACTCACAGAGATTGGCCTGCCTCTGTCTCCCAAGTGCTGGGATTAAAGGCGTGTGCCACCACCGCCCAGCAGTAATGAGTATAATTAAGTAACAACTTACTTTGCTCTTCGTAGTCTTAAAGAACCCTAGTATAAAGAGGGCATGATTCAGAAGTCATCTTTAAAAAATGAAGAAATTAGGCATATTTGTATGAGTGTATGTGTGGGTATGTGCATGTGAATGCAAGTGCCTGTGGAGTCCAAAAGATGTCATTGCATCCCGTGAAGCTGGAGTTATAGGAACCAAACTCCAGTCCTTGGCAAGGGCAGTATGTGCTCTTAACCAATAGTCCATCTCTTCAGCCTCCATTACTTTTTAAAAAACAAAAATCTGAAAGAATGTTATTACTTGGTGGGTTTTATCTTTTTATTAAGATATACTGACTAAAATTTATCGTGTGACAACAGTATTTTTAACCAAAGTTATTTTATTGTTTTGAGGTGGTCTTATGTATCCCAGGCTTGCCACATAGCCAAGGATGACTCTGAACTTCTGATCTTCCTGCCTTTCACATGCTGGGATTATAGACCTGCATTTCCACAACTGTTTTTATGTGGTGCTGGGCATCTGGGGCTTTGCCCATGCTAGCCAAGCACTCTACTAGCAGAGCTGCATCCCAGCCTCCAAGGCAATGTTTTAAAATTACACTGAAACAAGAATTAAAGAGACCAGGAGATGGTAACATTTTCATGAAAGCTAGCTAGGTTTTAGAGATGAATTACTGTTTCAAAACTGCATCATCATTTACAATAAAAGCAGTGCCCAGCAGGATTTGCAAAGAGATAACATTTGGAGTAGTCTATAAGCTACTGTTGTTGCAAACAGCCACCAGACACTCAAAGACACCAACTGTTAGAGAATCCTCACTGGCTGGCTGGCTGAGCCCGTCAGGACACAGGAAGATAGTGAGCTCTTGTTTGGCGGTTGTTTTTTAGGAAAGCAGCTGACAGATCATGTAAATCCTAGAATGAAACTCTGAACTAGTATTCCCACCAACTGCAGTGTGCCTGGTACACACTGGAGGAAGCCCCACAAATGCTTGTTGAATTAATGAGCGCAAGAACAAGCCGGTTCCCCTTTTTAAATGTAAGACTGCCAAAATTGCTTCTGTAAGGCTACAGAGGCCTGCCTTTTTCAACTTGATTCTTGGAAACGATGGCAAGAATCTGCTTCATTAAAATTGCCTGAGCCTTTTAAATTTAAATGTTGAGAGCAGATGACCATACTGGACAAGCAGCAATTTACTGGGAATGAACACAATGCTTGGTTGTAAAACACCAAGTTTTTTTTGTTTGTGGTTTAGCAATTTCTCACTTTGTGTAACAATTTAGATATTTAGGGACAGAGCCCGGGATATAATTGAATCAAACATCACAAGCTAACTTTTAAAAGTCAAGGATCCTAGTTAAAATTCACCGTGCAAGGAGCTCTTAATTTCTAGAATGGTTCTTTCATTTTTTGTTATGGGGGTCATGCTCTCTGTGTTCAATCAGAAACCTTGTTTTCCCTTTCACCTCTCTTCAATGTCCCCACCCAGCTCTAGGCATTCCTGAGTCTTGTCCTTCTGGCTTCTACTTGTCTGCTGTTAACTCTACACACCAGGGGTCAAATAAACAGAAATTATAAACTGCTATTTGCACAGGCCCTGAGGTCTATTATGTACCTACAAGAAATTGTTTAGAATTTATACAGACACCTTTAGAAAATAATAACAAATTGTTTCCAAAGTATTTTTTTTCAATTTCTACCGGAGAGTGTTTAAATGTACCCTTTGTCACACAACTGCTCCTTAACTTTTAATTTCTGCATTTTATCTTAGATCATCTTTAAACAGCAAAACAAAACAAATAACTCAACTCCTTTCCAATCATGGAAAAGTAGAGGTGTACAGCACTCTCATCCACAACTGGTCTGGGCTCATGAAGATGTGTAATGACAAACTGAAAAGTAAACTGTTACCTGCTAACACAGCGGTCCCAGCAGAGCAACTCTGGAGCACAGACAGACAAATGAGAAACAGTGTAAACCATAAAGTAACCTGCTGAAAATTAAAGGCCCAACTATCAAAGTTGTTGTGAACTCCACAGAACACAACAGCATATTTCACACTGCTCTTCTGAAGCAGCTGATTTCAGATGCCAGGTTTTCAAAGTGAACTCTTAAGAATTTAGCATTAGGCTAACCATAGTGCTCAAACATAGCACTTACCTTCTGAAGTCCCTCCACAGTGCTAGGCAGGCCAAGTAAGTCTGCAGCCGACTTGACATTGGCTTTCAGGTGACTTACTGCAGAACTCAACAGAGAAATCTGAAAAAGATCAAGAAACAAAGAAAACAGAATTTGTAGAGTATGTGCTTCCTTCACAAACTCTACAGCTCACAATGTCAAGGTGCCTGTCAGCTCTCAGGAACAGAGGAACTGTAGTGTTCTGGAAAGAGCTGAGAATCAGGAAGCAGCAATAACCCCCCACTTTCCTTGCCCAATTTAAACTGATGCCAAGGAGGCAGAGTGTCATTCTTTACTTTAGTCTAGGGCTGCAAGGCCCAAAACTCTTAAATTACTCAAAAGATGCAGTGATTACCACACAATCCTTCAATAGTTGAACAGGAAAAGAACTGATGATGAAGGGCCACCTCAAAACTTCACTTTGGTAAAATAGAACACCTATTTAACTGAACTTTTGTTCCTGTCCGAGTGGGAACATAAATTATAAAGTAAAAGCCCATCATCACAAAATATAGTCCACAGGAACTGTATCCTGACAACTTGAACAGCACTTTCAACTACTCAGGGACTTGGTTTTGGTTTAATAATGTGATTAATATTTCAAACTCAATAGCTCAACCAAAGCATTACTTTGTACCCTGAAGGAGCTCAATAAATACCCACTGACTCACTGAAGGATGCAATGAATGTATTAAAACAGGAATTGAATCAAAATAAAATGTGGCTTCCTTTCTACTACTTAGGGGTAGGATCTAAGTAGCTGGACTCCTATCTGAATGGGGGCTGGGGGAACCTCTATAACATGCAATTTCAGGCTCCGAGTTCACATTCTAACAAGTCCTGCAGTGTGACTCAAAACACTTTTCAAAGAGTCTTGGTGTCACACTGCTTTGCTATTCTAAATTTTAGGATGCGAATAAAGGTCTACCAATAAATTGTAACAAGAGCGGCCTGACAAACATCCAACTTTCTGGGCATTTGCTACCAGCCAAGCTGTGGCAGGCACCAGAAGGTGTGAGACACAGCAGGACCAGATTCTTCCAACAAGTATTTGGCATTTTCTTTGTGCTGACACCTTAGTTGCAACCATAGGGATTCAACCAGAACATTCTGCTAAGCTGCTTCACAATTCCTGGCACACAGAGAGTGTGAGATAATGAAGGATTGTTGTATGAGCCACTAAATTTGGAGATTAAATGTAACCTAGCAACAAATGATTAATATAGGTTACAAGAATTAAATGACACATGTGACTAAAGCTCAGCACAGTAAAAATGATTAAACCAGTGGCAGTTCTTTAGAAGTGAAATTGAATGAGTTTTTACACATGCCATGCTCCTTAAGTGTTCTCAAACATGCAGACCATTCACTAATGTTCTAACTCTACCCATTTCAAAACAGAAAGGTGAGACACCTCAGCCCACAATGAGAAATACTTTAAAAAAGCTATAATAAACCTTGAAGAGTAGCAATTACATCAAGAAGGTTTCGTTTTTGTGCCATTCCTTTAAGAAGCTATGGATAACACTGAGGCTTCAAAGAACCTAAAGAAACAGACATTCTCGTGCATTGTTATGGGAATGTGAACTGGAAAGGGATTGTTTTGAAGGAATAGCCCTCAAAACCGGAAATGTTTATATCCTTTGTTCAGCAACTTCATTTAAAGAAACCCATCCTGAAGATTACTTGCTCACAGGCACAAAAAAATATCCACAACAAGTCTTTCTTATTTGTACCAACAAAACACTGGAATAATTTAAATGCCTATCACTAGATGTGTACATATATTCAGTGAACAAAGGACACTGTAGTACACCACATACTCAATGTCTCCATTTATTTACATATACTTGGTATAGCCCATATGCTGATACATATTAAAAGCTATGATAGCTTTACTAATAGGAGGTGCACAACTATGTACAAATGTGAAGAGAAGGGACTCCTTTCCCAGGTATGTTTTACAATCATTCTACATGCCCTATTATGCAGTATCTTTCAGACACTCATGAATAAACTCCTTTCACTGCAATTGGTCAGACCCTAAAGTGATAATAACACACTGCGTTTTGGGTGATCTGGGCAGAAACTATCCTGTCAACATCTTGAGGCTATGGCAGAGCTAGTCAGGAGTGTCTTAGGAACATTATGGCCTCAGAGAAGGCCAGCATGCTGCTAGAAGCTGACATTTCACTTAAAACTAGGGAAGCAATAAAAGCCAACACAGGAGGACTAGGTTAGGTCAATTTTTTTCTGTGTCACAAACACAGTAGGTCTAGACTCTGGAGTGTCAGTGGCATCCCTGAGAATGTGTTCTGGAGAGCTGACCATCAACTCTGCAGTTACTGGTCACACAGCGTCTTTCTTATCTAAAGGACCTGGATCACAAACTGGTCACCATCTCAGTTATATACCCCAGACCTCCCCTCTTCAGCAGAGCCAAACTGTGTGGGAAACTACAGTAAATGTACATGTTTAACGGGACTGGAGAGACAAGGGTGTTCTCTCCCATTATCTCTGACTTCAAACAGGCATTCTAGAATGTGAGATTGGATTCAAGCATTACAGAATTTACTAAAACATCACATTTTACAATCTGAAGACACTAAAAACTGAGTTAAATAAAAACCATTAAGGAAAAAAAATCACATTCTAGTCAAAAGATGAGTTATGACTACTATGCATATTGTATTTTTTTAAATCAGCAAAAGTAAAAATAGCCACTGTGACTATTTACTTAATATAAATTTTATACTTCAAAAGCAGGAATTCTATTTTTTCTTTAGGGTTTAACTTACTGTTCTTTAAATACTGAGGAAACAGTTGAGAAAACAGATAATCACAAATGATGAATGATTATGAGTAGGGACTTCCTACATAGTCGTGACTGTCCTAGAACTCACTATGTAGACTAGGCTGACCTTAAATAAAGTCTAGAGAGTCTCTTGCCTGTGTCTCCAAAGTGCTGAAATTAAAGATGTGCACATGGCCCTACTTAATCATATAAAAATGAAAGAAAAACAGGTTCCCATGACTTAAGAATTTCAATGGTAGACTGCTAGATAGCTGTGACCTCGGGTAAGTTCTTTTGCCACTTTTGAGTCTCAATTTTCTTTTTGTCCTTGCCCACCACACCAGACAGGGTTTCTCTGTGTAACAGCTCTAGCTGCTCTGGAACTCACTCGGTAGACCAGGTTGGCCTTGAACTCTGCCTCTGCCTCCTGATTGCTGGGATGCACCACCACCGCCCAGGAAAACTCAAATTTCTTATCTGCAAACTGGGGGTACCACTTCTTACTTCATGTGATTAAGGACATAGAAAGAGGAGATCATACATGCAGTACAGCCAACAGAGTGGCCTGCACAAAGAAAACCTTTAATGTATACCAGTTATCACCATTACCACCCAGATTTTCATAACCATGCCTGAGGCTGAAAACAGTATACAATCTCCTAATGAATGCAATTAGATTGATTTACAAACGACCATCATACAAGTGTTTAAAAGAGAGCAGCAGGAACTAAGAAGGGCACCTACAGTCCTTGACAACAATGCTTGTTGAATTACTTTATCTCTGGCTTTTTTCTGTGCCCAAATAGGGCTATAAGGAAGGACTAAAATTTCCTTAATACAAAGTCTTTTCACTTATCCTTTTTTCAAATATTATTGGGTAGTTATCTTCTGAAAAGCTACAGCAAAGTTTGAATTAGTGAATGCTAAACCACTGTTCCTAGGTGTAGGGGCTAAGTGCCTGTGAGCCCCTTGGTCACGTTTTCAGTAATTTATCAATATAATATATAACCTTGTTTTACATGTGTTCCAGTTTAAACATCTTATTTAATGATCTGCTGACTTATTAACACTGACCACACAGCCACCAGCACTGCAAGTGATGCCTGAAGGAAGCCTACCTAACAGTGAAATTATCAACAAAGGGCACAACAATGTGAAAGGTGACATGAAATATACCACAGAGTCCCACTTGTTTCCAGCATGAGAACGGAACACGAAGTAGGGTTCTATTTCGCTCTATTCCAGCTGTCAGTGTCTGTGGGTAACTGTGCATACATCAGTGGATGACTGAAAAAGCCTCATACTTACAGTTTTTGTGGTTAACAAACAGATTTTAGCAAGTAGATAAAAATATGAGGGTCAGCTATACTGTCCTACTGAGTGTAACCTCCTCTCTTTCTCCATCTGGTCCATTTCCACTTCAGGACTTAGCCCAATGTTCCTGGGAAAGCTGATCCCAATCTGGGCTGGATATTCATTTATTTAAATATGGCTTCAGCATTTGAACTATATGTTTCATGTCAAGCTGTTTACTTTCCTATCTTTTGTTTGTCCACTGGGGTAAGGAATTGCACCTTTTTTGGTTCTAAATCTACCATAGTCTGAATGTTGGTGCTCCCCTAAAAGACCCATGTTCAAAATCTCCAATGTGGTAGCAGTAAGAGGTGGGGCCCTACAGGCACAACAGGGGAAGGCTCTACCCTCATCAACAGCTCAATGATGCTACTTTTCCTCTTATGCTAATGAAGATATAACAAGAAGACACACGAATGAAGCAGACAATGAGTCTTTACCAGAGACCAAACCCGTTGGCACCCTGGTCCTGGACTCTAGGGCCTCTCGAACTGTAATCAATTCCTATTGTTTGTAAGTTACCTAGTCTAAAGCATTTAATTAGAGTGGTCTGAATAGACTAAGACAGAGGCAAAGGCTTAACGCCATAAAAGCAGCTCAGTAAATATTTGTTCTCTACAGAAAGGAAGGCCCTTGTAATCGTCAATAGGGAGCGGGTACAACATCCGAGGTTTCAGGCATAAAACAAAGTGTAAATGACATTTCACGTACTAGCTTGAAGATTTTCAAGGTAAAGTTGGAATTTAACTTTCTCAGCCAGGTGACCTTCTTTTCCCAGTACAAATTAACTTCAGCTTACTTGGTAGTAGGAAGAGTTCTTGTTAAGTGACAGAATATATTTTCTTGTTGTTTAAAAATGCCACTAGAAGATCTGAATTGATAATTTCCATTAGATATAGAAACATGATTAAATATTATTTTTACTTTTATTCCTATTTTACCTCAGATGAATAGAGCACCAGATGTATAGCGTTAACTTTAGAAAACCACCCAGACTGCTAAGCTCCCTTAGGAAACAACATTAGCTCTACCTTACCCCCATCCATCCTCTGGGTCTATGTTAGCATTCTCTGTATTAGGCTGACTTTATAAATCAGTCTGGCATCTCGCAAAGCATGGTGCTACTCATCCGCAAAGAGTTTCAGTCTGACCTTCTCCAGTTGCACACACCTAGGACTTCTTCCACCACACTAAGTGCCAGTTCTCTCCTTGAGCAGTCCTAGAATGCCAACGTATGAGGAGATGGGAAACAGAGTTGCTCTCCTATTTCTGTCTCTATTCTGCCAAATGGAAGCCACAGACTGTCCAGGAGAAATGTGCTCTCGGGGCTTCTGTGCTACTTGCCCCTGCTGTCATCTCTGTCTACACTGCTCATCTGCTGTGTGACTGCAGGGCTGCAGTTGATTCTAGTCTTTGTGTACGAAAGGAATGAGTATCTGCTTTTCTTGAATTCCTGAGAGTCTAAGAATAAATGCTAACTAGGAAATACTACTTGCTATCACTCATCAATTATTTTCTGTGTGATTAAAAACAAAATAAAATGGAGCCAGGGGCAGTGGCTCATATAATCTTAGCACTCAGGCCAGCATGGGGTACATAATGAAACTGTCTCAAAATCAAAACCAAAATAAAACAAAACCCCTAAATAGGAATGAATAGGGAATACAAAGCCATAAGGCACTGAACATTTTCCAGGTGAGCTACTGTTTTCAGAAAATTTCATTTTAGCTACTTATGGTGTCTTAGTCTACTTCCTATGGCCACTGCCAAATGCCATAGAGTGGGTGACTTATTTTAGCCCATTTAAGAACATGTAACTGCATGTGATGAGGTATTTTTGCTTCATCACAACACAGTGGAGGGCATCACATGCATGTGATAAGAGTGAACAAGTGTGCCAGCACGCCTTCTCTTTCTCTTCTAGTACCATTTTGGGGTAAATGCTAACTAATCCCCAAAGGCTCCACGTCCATGTACACTTGACACATGGGCTGGGAGACACATTCAAACCATAACATATTGCCATGCATGTCTACTGGGGAATGTAGACATTTTTACTTTGAGTTCCTAGACCATTGAGTTTCAGTCTTAAACACTGAACTATGCTTCTCTCAAAATGTGGCCAAAAGGTGTAACTTTATAAATATCTACAAGTCCTTTCTTCTAACAGGGCTTCCTACTGGCTCATTATAGGACTCTGGATTCCACCCTGAAAAGAGTGTTCTCTTCATCTCAACAAAGATGACAAACCTAATTGAAAGCATTTTGCATGTGCATTATTCATTTGGCATTTGAGTTTTCTTCTCAATGATCACTTCTTTTCCCAACCAAACTGAAAACAAAATCAAAAAGTCAAAATAAAACAGCAACAAACAGGTTAACCCAAAACCCAGATCTGAGAATGGGGCTATAGATTCCAGTGGTAACTATGCCTGTTTACACCTGTGAGAAACTTGGTCAACATCCTTAGACTAAACACTGCTTCTTTGGTAGATCCCTTCTTTTGGAAGCAATGCCTACTGAGCTCTGCACAACTCTGAGACTGAACAAATTTGTCTAGACTTGCTTGTCTGGCCAAAGCATTTACCTGACTCTACTGCCTGCTCCTAGGCTATTCGAGCTGATGGTGAGCTGTGTGGCTGTTGTAGCTCTGACTTCCCACCTACAACACTACACTCCAGTGCTAAAACTCTAAGTGTAAGCTTTCTGAAACAAAACAAAACTCACTCACTAACAGTATGCCAGCCCCTTTCTTTGGGAATCAGATGGCACTCCTTATTTGATACCTATATTACTCTGTAGAAAAAGCTGGCTCAAGTATTTACAACTGCCTCTCTAATGCTTTTCTACCTGTGGACTCTGCATATGCAGAAAGGGTTAACACTTTAAATACTTGGTAAATGCATTTCAAATTTTGGAGAATAACTACTATTTTAACATGACTGGATCATAGCATTTAAACTCCAACTTAAAAAGACAAAACCTGAATTTATAAACTTATACTAAATGCCAAAGAACCAATGTAGATTCATTTCCGCAGTTTATATAGGCATAAAGTCACACTTTTGCTACCTGCTTATTCATTTCTGTGATGTTGATCCAGACTCTGCTCAAGCCCAGCTCCCCAGATTCAATCTTCTCAAGTTGCTTTTGTTTGCTGAGAAGTTCCTCATTAAGTTTGGGGATTTCCTGGAATGAGCTTTTCTGATTAGATTCCACTGAAAGAAAAATAAGAACAATTGTAAATATATATCACATTCTGGTCCCAAGAAGAATAAAAGGGAGGGAGGGGATCACAGGGTAGGAAAGGAGAGATTAGTGAGATTAGTGAATGTAAATTCTGGGATGATAATGACTTAATTCGCAGTTACCTAGCTACACTGAAAACAGAAAAGGGAGGGCAGGGCTACTCTACTATTTATGTAAATGTGTATTCTTAACACTTTAAATACTAAACTTTAAGTTAGGTGACTTGGCTCAATAACAGAACTCTTCTTGGCACTTGCAAGGCCCTGGGTTCTATCTCCATTACCACACAACAACAAGGACAATGAAGACAGGTGTTGGCCAATAGGGAAGCAAGACAGGAGGGACTAGGAGTCGAGGAGGACTCTGGGTAGGAGAAACACACGGAGTCAAAATGTAACCCGCCATGGGGTAGGAAGCCCGGGAACTTTGCTCCGGTAAGAGAAATACTTAGATTAACAACTATGGGGTAAATACTTAAGTCAGAGCTAGCCAGTAAGAAACAAGCAAGGCCAACAGCTTCATAATTAATATAGCCTCCTGTGTGTTTATTTGGGACTGATACGGCTCTGGAAAGAGGCTGGCGGGAAGGCTTCTCTTTACAGACATGTGACTAAACACTGTAACAAAAACCATGAGCAGAAAGGATCAGATGATTTCGCCTCTATAGTTTACAATAATTTTTAGTAAATTATTCAATTTGATCTCAGTTTTGTTTTTGTTTTTTTTTATTTAGTCTGGAAAAGTGTGTAAGAGTCACTTCCCAAGAATGTTAGAATGAAGAGAGAGAACAGCTGGCCAGGCATACAGTAGGAGATAAATGTTAAGTCTGGTCAGTTTTAAGATTAGTCAATTAATAAGACTCCTACTCCATGGATGCTCCAGGTGCCATTACAAACTACATCTTTTTTTTTTTTTTTTTTTTTTTTTTTTTGGTTTTTACGAGACAGGGTTTCTCTGTATTGTTTTGGAGGCTGTCCAGCCTGGCCTCGAACTCACAGAGATTCGCTTACCTCTGCCTCCTGAGTGCTGGGATTAAAGGCGTGAGCCACCACCGCCCGGCCACAAACTATATCTTTAGATATTTTTTTCTTCTACTTTAAGTTGGCTGACTGGGAGGTGGTATTCAAATACCTATATGAGGGCTAAGATTTTTATTTTAATTCATAAATGGCAGTGTTTTCTTAAACCAACCCAAAGCTCAAGATGAAAAGGAAGATAAACATGTTAGGTGAAGCGCAAGGGGACATTAGGACTCTGTGAAATAACAATTCCTGTGTGGTTAAGGGATTCAAAGCCTGAGGCAGAGGCCGAAAGTGGGCTCTCTTCTTTCTTTAGAAAGCATTTTTCCTCTTAATGGAAAATAAAATATTGATAATGGCTGTTCCTCCAGAATAAAACCTACATCATTTTTCTTCAGGTCACAGACTTCTTGGGTTTCTCTGTGGCTTTTGAGGTTATCCTGGGACTAGCTTTTATAGACCAGTCTGGTCTCAAACTCACAGAGATCTGCCTGTCTCTGCCTCCCGAGTGTTGGGATTAAAGGTTATATATATATATATTTTAAAACAAGAAAACTGGCATATAGGGCCATACTTTACTAAAACAAGAGCTCCATGACTTTGCTTTGTTCATTTCTGTATGGTCTGCACTCAGAATATAATATTAGGCACTCAGTAAATACTTGTTACCTAAATAAGCCTGGTCTTTGCTGACCTCTCAACCACATTTCTCAGTACTTTATCCTCCTTTTCAATCCAACAAAGAAAACACAAAAAGTAAAACACCCAGACAGCAGGCACAGTTAACAATAACAAAGCCCCATGGAAACTGGGGGCAGTGATAATATCTCTGTAAGCAAGCTCACTATGGAACAACTCAGAATAATGAAATTAGGTATTTTCATTTATTTTTTAGAAGTAGCTGCCAAAGGATTGCATTCTAAATAATAGACTTCCCTAAGTGCTTTTAGTGTAGCATTTGATTTACACGGTTTGCGGAATACATCCATCTCAGGCAGTAGGAAAATTTCATTACTCATTCTAACCAATGCAACTGTGTGTCACTGAATTGCTTATACAGTTTCATCTGGGTTGTAAAGCAAAGCCCATCCTGAGAATGACTTTCATAGTCAGGCAGTAAAATGCCCTCAGGAGGGAGAGTCTCTCTTTCCTAAAATCCATATGCAATAAATAGGACTTAGAGGTGGAAGAAATAAGACAAAGACATATATAAGCTGAGTTATAACTATTAACTAACGAACACCTAAAGCAGACAAGTCCCTAGGTCACTCTGGATCCTGAGGAGTCTATGAGCCAAGAGGGGACCATAACCATTATCTGATGTGGGCTTTTCAGGAGAGACAAGCCAAGTTGAGGCACTTTTGTTATATAAATGGAAGTATGGCAAACAACTTATGATTACTTATTCATGTTCTTTCACCATGGAAAGCAGCTCATTTAAAATGTAATATATAGACTCTCATAAGAATTTACTTAGTTTTTATTTTTTCATTTTTATGATTAGGAAATAGAAATTTCTACACACCCTTCAAACACAACATGTATAATGTTAGTAGTAATGTTTTGTATTCATACAATACCCTTATAACTTGCAATAAATTTTTATGTAATTATCATCAAATGACATGTTACTGAGCCTCTACTGTGTGCCAGCCCTGTACTTGACATCATCTTATACAAAAGACACTGAAGTTCTCAGTCTAGAGTGAAGAGAGAATTATTATAAATGGTGACAGGTGTGGTAACAGAGTAATGACCAAAGAGCTTTGGTGGCAAAAAATACATCTTCATGAGTCACAGGTAAGAAAATATAGGCTCAGAAAGAATATGTGATTGTTCTAATTTTATAGTGAGTAATGAGAAGCAAACAGTCAAACCACATGTTCGCAGGACCAATACTATTTCTGGTATGCTTAAGATGTCAGGGATGAGCCAGGTGGTGGTGGTGAACGCCTTTAATCCCAGCACTCGGGAGGCAGAGGCAGGCGGATCTCTGTGAGTTTGAGACCAGCCTGGTCTCAAACACCCCTAGTAAGCTAGTAAGCAATCAGTCAGTCCATAGATGCCCAGCTTATAGCATGAGTATGCCAGACCCCAGTCTTCCCTCTCTCAGGAAGTCCTTGCTTATTTTTACTCCCCCCCCCCCCCGTGGGGTGTGCCTGTGTGTGTGTGTGTGTGTGTGTGTGTGTGTGTGTGTGTGTGTTGGTGCTCCTATGCCGTAGCACGCATGTGGCGGTTAGTGGACATCTCACCAGAATGGTTCTCTCCTACAACACAGGGGCTCCAGAGATTGAACTCAGGTCATTAGGCTTGGTAGTAAGCACCCTTACCCACTAAGCAATCTCAGTGACCACTGGCATTGCCATTGTGGCAAATCAAAGCCAACAAAACAATTGGATTGACAATTCCAAGCCTGCTTTACTCAACTGGATAACAAATGCAGTTTGGGTTCCAGAAAAATCTTCCTCATGGTAGGAAGCTGACCTCCCAACAGCTCAGGTGTGTGGAGTCGCATCTCCTGAATATAATGTTTTTAGGGACTGGCATTAACAAAGGCTTAACAAATATTTATCGACTGACTGTCAGGCCTAGTACATGCCTTACATTTTTAAACAAAGAGATCCATGGCAAGCCCAGCTAAGGTATAAATGGCCTTGGTATCCTGTAATACAAACACAGAAAAGCTGCAGAAAGGAATCTTTAGAAGGGAGAACCGAGCAATGTATGAAATACATAAACATATAATCACTGCGTGTGATCAAAACAAGGTGTGGCACAAGCCTAGGAATGTCAACTAATTATGGAGAATTCATCTGACATAAAGGTGTGCTCAGCGGTCACATACAGTTCAGCATTGCTTCCAAGTTACGATTATTACATACATACAAAAAATGCAAGCTTAAAAACATTTGCAATATTGCAAAAACAAGAATTACACAGAAACTCTACAGTATATATACATTCTTTTTTTCGTGTGTGTGTGTGTGTGTGTGTGTGTGTGTGTGTGTGTGTGTATGTGTACTTTCATTCAACCATATAGGTCAGGATGATTCTGGCAAAGAATTGTGGGCCTAGCAAATCCCATCCCTGAAGCAGAAAGTCAGAAGAAAACCAAGGTGATACTAAAACATTTTTTAACACTCTGAGGAGTAGTAGTCCCTAGGTCAAGTCCAAAGCTTGAGTGGATGTAGGTCAAGAGAAGCTGGGTGAAGGAAAGCAGAAGGTTGAGATTTTCTAGGCTTAATACGGATCTCTCTGGCTTAGGAGGCAAAGTAAGGGCCCAAAACCCGGTTCTGGAGCCAGAGGTCTTTGAGGAACTTGTGATCAGTTTCCTGGTGTGCTATCACTATTGAGGTCTGTGGTTAAGTTGAAACTGGTTCTTTAGCTTAGAAAATCCACTCTTGAAATCTAGAGCCAAAAATTATACTGTTGTTAAAAGGAGAAAATCTGTTAAGTTAAATCTGGCTGAAATCAATATACAAACACACCTTTCAGGAAAAAGTAGTTTGTTTGTATGTATAAAATTGAACTTTGTAATTAGAACATATGACATTTTCTAACTTGAGAAGTCTCTTAAACCAAAAACCTCCCCTATGAGACAAATATCTCTATGAGCTGTATTGTGTTTAAGGTAAGGACTGTTAAGATTACTGTACTTTTTCATGGATGTGTAATGTACTTCAAAGGATCAAAAGACTTTCCTAAAAGTTTAAGATGGTGACATTCATGGTTTTTGAAGTTTTCCCTCCCTTGAAACAGATGTCCTATGGAAAGATGCCAACGGGCTACCTATTAATTCTTGCTTTGTCCTTGAACACTATAAACACACACACACACTAGAGAGAGAGAGAGAGAGAGAGAGACAGAGACAGAGAGAGAGAGAGAGAGAGAGAGAGAGAGAGAGAGAGAGAGAGAGAGAGAGGGAGGGAGGGAGGATGACTTTGTTGGCACAAATGGACAGTCCACAAATGTGGCTCTTACAATGACTTGTCCATTCCTATGTTCTTACACAGGGTTTGGAAAGAGGCAATCATCTGACAGATGCCTGCACACTTTTAATCAACCGGTACTGTGAGGTAAGGGAAGCAGCATGGTGCTTCATCAGCCACTTTATAATTGGGAGCTTGGGCTGTAGGTGGAGTTTAATCAAGGTTCTGGGTTCCTGGTCTACAGTTCTTCCCCTTTGCACTGAGTTGACTTCGATGTCACAATTCCAGAAGCTACTCCTGGTGGCACATGAGTACTGAATTTGTTTATGGGTTGAAAAACAATAAGTGCTATTACAGTCAAGTTGACAGTTGAGAAAGTATATAGAACAAAATGTGTAATTGCCTATCAGAATGGGCAAATTCCTAACTCAGCATGGACCAATTTTTTTTTTTGTAAAACTTGAAAAAAACTTGACCACTTACTTGTTCTAAATTTTTCCTTGAGGGCATCCAGATCCTCCTTGAGGGCCACTTGCATCCACACCAAGCCAACGCAGGCCACAACACAGGCAGCGAGGATGACGAAAGCACAGAGGGGATAACAGATCTTGCAGCATCGTAAGTAGTCTCCCCTATCGGAAGAATACATTCAACTGTGAGTGAGAAAGTAGCTTTCAGGACGGCTTCATCAGCAATAGTATGTGTTGCCATTCGATTATCTTCTCTAATGAATAACCAGTGGATTTACCAGGGGACACAGGACAATGTATCTATATCTACTAGCAGGAGGTTAAAAATGACTGAATAGCATGACCTATGAAAAGTTCTATTGGGTACAAAGGTTTCAAACCTCACAGGAAACAGGGAGGTCTTTGGAGCTGAAAGACAAGACAGGCATAACGGCGCATGCCTGTAATCTAAGTGCTTGGGAGGCTGAGGTAGAAGGCTCGCAAGCTCTATATCAACTTGAGCAAGCAAATAAAATCCTGCTTCACGAAACAGTGGTGGAAGAGAAGGTGCTTTTCTACCATGCATGAGAACCTAGCTCAATCCTTAATAGTTCTACGAAAGAAAAAAAAAGAAAGGATGGAGAGAAGGGCAAAAATGAGTGGTCCTATGTAATTCTATCCCTGCATGGTGATTTACCCATCTCTTTTTCTCTCAAATATATGCTCACTTACCCCAGGAAACCTTGTTTCATTTAATGAAACTTCATAAACTTTTGACCAAGTTTTACTGCAAATGGAACGAAGAAAACAAGACCTGTTGGTTTAAGTGGATACCTGATATTTTTTAACCTACTGCCTTAGGAGGACCGAAATAGAAACATGCTAGATTTCACACCAAACTTCACCAGCCTTTAGGCCTGAACTAACCAAGCAGGCTATCAGACACCCTCACGAAACAAACTTGAAATGGTAAAGAAGCCAAAGTCTTAACAAAAACACAGAGATTATGAGCACACTAAAAGATCAGAACTTCTTTGGCACCCAGGTCCTCTGCCTAACCCTTGTTTCCACGTTCCAACGGAATTGCCTTTTCCTTTAGTTTGGTCTCTGACAGAGCCCAAGGCCTAAATGCTAAGGTTTCCTTTAGCTGGTTCACAAACTAATCTCTTAACCCCCAAATCCTCAAAGTTTGTTTTGCTTAGTGGTTGGTTTGGGGAAAGACTGCTCTTACTATTATTATTAATATTATTATGTACCCTCACTTTCCATACTTGCAGGGTTCATATTTTCTACAGTATTCCCCTCACTCTATTCTTCCATCACCAATACCAAGCTCATTGAGAAAACACAGAGCTGCTATAGGTCTTACGGTTCCTTGGCCCACTCTTTAAAAATGCCTAGCCTCCACAGCCTCTCTTCTTTGTCTCCATTAGTAACCCTTTTACTCCTTCTTGGGCTATGGGCCCATTCCTCAAGTTCACACTCCCACCCTGGATTTTGAGATCTTGGTAGACAATAGAGTGACCTCTTACTCTTCATTCAGGATTTGTTTTCTCCAACACCCTTCCTCTCTCTGCTTCCTTTTTCCTAAGGACTCCCCTCTCCTCAGCTATTTGCCCAGCTTAGTGCAAGGCGCCTTTTGCCTATTTTAGCTCTCACCGCTGCTTCACTCACTTGACAAAACGAGAGCGATTTCCAATTGCTCCAAATTCCTCTTCTTCCTCTGAGCTGGACTCTGAGTCTGAGTCAGGAGGTTCAGTGCGAAGCAGGCGGTGGCTGCTTGGGCCTTTCTTGGGCTTCTTTCTCCGACTGTCACCAGCCAGGCCGATCAACGCATTAAGCTCTTTGCGTGTTTTCATCTTTTTGTGGGGGGTGAGTGGAGCACCCACTCCTGAGCTGCCAGGTTCGTACCCGACGCCCAGCTCTCTCGCTGCCTTGGAACTGCCTTCCAGGGTTGGAAATCCTGGGCCAGAGCCCCCTGGTCACTCCCACCCAGAGGTGGGACTGACCAGATCTACTGGGGGTGGAGAATGGAGCCCAGAGGAAACTGGACTCGGATGAGGGTAAGTTACATAGAGATGGCCAAGGAACCGGTGATCCAAACGAATAAATTCCTGGAACAACTATTACCTGCCCAAAGAAAAAATAAAACAAAACAACCTGCTAAGTCAAGAACAAGATTCTTAGCCCTGTAGGCAGTCAGTATTTCTAGGAGAGCTCCAGAAGTCTGGAAAAGATACGTAAAAGTAAGGTACTTTGGACCTCTGGGACAAGATTGCCAATGCAGAGGAAAAATAAACTTGTTCTCGAATGGGAGGGCAGGAGACTGTGCAGAGCAGGCAGTGGGTACTCGCTAATCCTTGTCTGGAGAGGTGGCGACAGGGGAGGGCACTGACACAGCCTGGGCGGCTAGAAAACGCCCAGGCCAGGAAGCCGGCTGGGATTAGGGGTGCTCACCTTTCTGTGGCTTCTGTCCTGAGTTTGAAAGACCGGCGAGAGAAGAGCCGGACCCTGGGGAAAACCAAGCCCTGCTGTCGGGGCCTCGGGGGGCGCGGTGATGAGGGGCGACCACCGCTCGGCCAGCCTGAAGTGCTCCGAGTGTGGGGTGCTCCGCCACCGTAGACTTCCGCAACTCACACGCGCCGCGGCCAGTCCAGCCGCACCCCCTGCTCCGGCCGCGGCTGCTCAGGACGCGCTGGCGGTGGCGGCGGCGGCGGCCGCAGGCTCCACACCCGGGCCATCGCTCCAGCCCCAGCTCACTTCCCCTTTGGCAGCGGCCCCGGGCACAGCCTGCCAGTAAGCCGCGCCCCCATTGGGCGCTCCTGGGTGACGTCACTCAGGAGGGCGAAAGCGGTTCTGGGGAGGTGGAGAGTTAAAGGGGCCGCGGCTCTGACCAGGGTAGGATCTGGTGTCAGGTTAGATAGGCCCCGCCCCCTGGAGGTAAAAAGTTCTTCAGAAGACTCCATTCCCTTATTCTTAGGCTTGTCGTTTTAATGACCCAGCTGAATAATTCATGCATCCATACATGCATGCGTCCATCCAATAAATATTTATTGATGGATATATTCCAAGACTGTTCTAGCTCTGGGGATGCTGCAACAAACACAATAACCAATGCCTTTGCCTTCCCGTATACAATTGCCAGATTTGGCAAATAAAACACAGAGCACTAGTAAAGTTAGAATACCAGATAAACAGCGATTTTTTTTTTTGACAGAGGCTTTCCATGTAGTCTGAGCTGTCCTAGAACTAGCTATGTAGATCAGGTCTGCCTTGAACTTGCAGAGATATTCCTGCCTCTGCCTCTTGAGTGCTGGGATTAAAGCTGTGCATTGCCATGCCTGGTTTAGCTTTTTTTTTTTAACATCAACGGCAACCTCATACTGAAAAATAATTGTGCTGGGTGGTGGTGGCACTGGGCTTTAATTCCAACACTTGGGAGGCAGAGGCAGGTGGATCTCTGAGTTTGAGGCCAGCTTGGTCTACAGAGTAAGTTCCAGGACAGCCAGGGTTAATGTAGAGAAACCCTGTCTGGAAAAAATAACAACAATAATAGTAAGTACAAGATTTACTTGTTTATCTGAAATTCAAGTTCAACAGGTCTTCCTCTATTTTATCTGCCTGAAGCAGGCACACTTATTACCAGTTAACGTCAATGGCTGTTGTGAGAGAATCTGAAACAAGATAGGGAAGGAGTGCTTTTTCTTTGATAAAGGGATCTTTGGGCAGAGGTCTTAGGAAGTGAGGGGGTGAGCAAAATAGTGGTTTCTGAAAGGAGTGATCAGAAAGATTTGGTTTGGCAAAAACACTGATAGGAAATGAAGTTAGAGAGATGTCAGGGGCTAGATCTTGCAGGATTTGAGAAATCACTGAGAGACATACCCTGATTTTTCAGTTTATAAAAGATGACTCTGGTTACTGTGAGGAAAAAAGAAGGAGGAGGAGGAGGAGGGGGAGGAGGAGGAGGAGGAGGAGGAGGAGAAAGAGAAAGAGGAAGAAGAAGAGAAGGACCCAGGAATTCCTCTGGCCTGGATGGAGATGAAGAGGTTAGATGGGGTGGCAACAGTGGGGACGGGTAGCATTCTGTTTCTTGGAGACAGAGCTAAGGATATTTGTTGGTGGATTAGATTAAAGGGATAAAAAATGGATGGGGGAACCATGGATGACTCTGGAAGCTTGGAATGGCCTTGTCATTTATTGAGAAGGAGAAGATTTGGGACAAGCTCAGGAAGCCAATTTGACATCCACATTTGACCTTCAGTAGACTGCTTGATGTTTCCATAAGGAATTCTGGGTAGGAACTGTGGCCTGAAATATAAACTGGAAACTCATCAGGCATCAGTGATATTTATAACATAGCGCTTTGAGTTACCTGGAAGAAAATCAAATTAATTTAAACCCCCCACATTGTACTACCTTTGCCTGAGGATTCCCACTTACAGTTTAGGTGTGTGTCTTGATTTGTCTTTAGGCGTTTAACCCAGAGATAAGCACCCAATTGCGTCCGCTGCGAAGCCTGTGTCCGGGAATGTGCGGAGGGTGTCGGGGATTGACAACACAGAGACTCGTTCAACGGTGTAAAGAAAACTTTAAGCAGGCCCCAAAAAGGCTCAAGAAAACTTCCCAAGAAAGGCCTCCCTCCAGAAAAGCTTCTGCTCTCTCTCTCTATTCCTGGCTGGCTCTGCTCTGACACCAGAAACTGATTTGGGTGTATCAGAAGAGGCGGTTAGTCTTTGGACAAGGTCGAGGTCAGGGTGGTTCCCGTGGGCCAGCCCTTTTCAGGAACTTATTGCCCCGGGCATTGTATTGTTTTTAGTAAACATTGTTTTACAGCTGCCTACTCCCAAGCTGATGGGGAAGTGGGTCTCTGCTCAAGGTCTGGTGTCCCCACACCTAACCAAAACCACCCAATAGATATGAGATGACATGTTTATGTAAGTGAACAGTGTTGCACAGAGGTAGGGGCAGACCTCTGGGATCATGAGATCTGTTGTTAAATTCTTCCTGTCATACCAGGTCTGTCCAGATGGGGGCTGCTTGACTTTCCTGGGTTGTTTCTCCACACTACCTGAAATAAGCATCTACTTGACAGAGTAGATGGCAAGAGACGGTGAGGGTGGTGATGCTTTTGCGGTACAGGTGCTCCATTTTTATTGTTTCTAGGGTTGCTCTGGCCACTTATAGTAGCTACTATCCAAATATGCCAAATACACAGTTTAGCTCTGCTGAAACAAAGCGAAAATGTAGCCACATGTGGCTAGTGGCTATAGGGAAGCACAGGCTCATCTCGTTCTACTGTCATGAATAGTTTCATTGGTCATTTCTGCCTCCCTGATGGACTGGAAATGGACAGATGAGCTTACCAACTTCATGAACCGTTTCATAGACACATCCTGTCCATGGTCACCAGAGGTAAGCGAGGTACCTATTCAGGGTGGGAGGTGCTTCTGTTGTAGAAGCTACATCCTTACCAAGGGAACTGTGGCTGAGGATCTCAGGGCAATGGGACAGGGCCAAAGAGGCACCACCCTCCACCCTCGCTGCTGGTGAAGCTCTTCCTTCTGCTGCTTCTGCTTTTGGTTTCTCTGTCTGTTTGCTCTTCTGTCTATCTCTGTTCTGGAGACCACACCTTTGTGTTGGGCAAACATCCCCCTGGATGCTGAGTCACCCTCTAAATACTGCATACCTACTTGGCGACTTCTCTGGTCACTTTCCTCAGAGATGGGACCCTCATGTTCAGGTATCAAGCCAACACTCTCAGAACCAGGGCTCCTGTCTTGAGGGGCCCATGCTGCCCTACTTCACTAGGACTTTCCAAGGAGGTGGCTGCTTCTCCTTTGGGGATGCTCATTTTGTTCCTCGATCCTCTGGATCCCTGTTAATCTATTTAAAACTCCTCTGAAAAGCAATGTGAGTATGTGGTGGTGATGGTGCCACTGACGTTCTGAGGCCTCAACATTCTTGTCTGTTAAATGGGAATACTAATATTTCTTTCCCAGTCTTCAAACCAGTGGTGTCTTGATGAGGGAGCGGAATAAAAACGCTCTATATGCCATGATGTGTCCTGTAGTTTGGGTGACTTCTCTGTCACATCTCTGGAAGTTCTGGGATGGGGGAAGAAGGGACAGGATCATTGCAGTCAAGAATCACAGCCTGTGTAAAGTGATAAATCCACACCTGAGAGTTGTGTTGCCTTAGAAGACTCTCCAAAGGGGATCTTTCACATCTGGGAAAGATGAGACTGGGCAAAGTGCCCAGGATTCTGGTCACAAGTTGGATGCAGGTGTCCTAATTCCTGTGCTAAAATTCTTCAAGATCTTAGCATCTGAGAGGACCAGGGAGCCAGACAGAGCCACGACAGGTTTCTAATGGCTCCTGCCAGGGACCAGGTCTTAGTTTCAGTTTACAGGAGGTGGCTGGAGCCGAGCAAACAGTTCTTGGGCCGAACCACAACTTAGGGGCAACCAATCAGCAGGCACCCCACAGCCTTCTGCAAGCTCAGTGGGCACCCCTTAACCCCCTCAGCTGGCTCAGCAGACTCCTAAAGTCCCTTTGCTGGCTGAGCAAGTACCCCCTAGCCTTCTGCTAGCTAAAGATAGCTTTCTATATCCTGCCTCTGGAAGGTCCCTAACCACTAGGGCCTCCCACCAATCATCCCCCAGACCAATCTTTCCTGTACCAGTCAGTCCCAGGTTAATCCCTCTTCCCTGAAATTCCCCTAACTCCACTTAAAAGGAGCTTGCAACCTTCTTTGGGGGTCACCATTTGCCACCCCAATGTTGGATAAATAAAGTGCTCTTGTTTATTACATACGTGGCTGTTGATCTTTTCTTGGAGGCTTCTCTCAGACCCTAACAGTATCCTCTTCCAAGGACCCAAGTCTTCATCTGCATGCTGCCACTTGGCAGTTGTGTGATCTTAAACAAATCTCCCAGCCTCTGTCAACTTCAATATCTATTTCTGTCAAGCACTCACGATTGGCTACATAATTTATGAGGAATAAAGCATTTTCATTTTTGGTCTTTTTTTTTTTAAAGAGAGACAAACTTTACTCTTCCTGTGATTTTCTCCGGCCGTGTGCTGTTTATTGCTCTCTGTTTAGTGCTGTTGTCCTGGTGGTATGACATGAGTACAGTGTGGATACCTAGAACACCCTGTTCTGTGCCCGGGCAGACACTTCCCTTTCTCTCCCTCTTCTTGCATTGAGGCCCCACGGGAGCAGAAGGCGGGAGTGTCTGGGGAGCAGGGACGAGGCAGGCACCCAGGAATCTATCTCGAGGTATAAGTTTAGAGGGGTGAGAGGCAGCTCTTTGTGTGAGCTGAGGCTTTTATATAACCCTATGCACACATAAAACACACTCAGGGGCACAATAATTCCTAATCTCTGGATGGCCAAAACAGAACAATAAGCCCTAAATGTAAGGTTCTCTGTGTGCCTATGTGGTCATAAACTCATCGAACTGGTTTTGACTGTACCTAGCCCACAGGGTAGCTGTGCCGAAGTCATGTGCTGGATACATTATAACTGCCCACAAACATCAGCTGCTCCATTAATGTGATTATAAATTATTAAATATATTGTCCATTCATCAAATGTGTTTTTTGATGACACTTCCATTGTGGGGATACATCTCTGTTTACCTAACAGAAATGGGAGCTTCCATTTGCTGCAGAAATCCTTGTTTGACACTATCTTTCCTGATCCTTTGCTATGGTTGTAGTGGAAGGAAGCAATAGAGATGAATATGTTTAAATACTTATGTATC